TAGCCAAGCACTGTCAGGTTGCTCCTCTTCATAGAGAAGATATCTGATATCTTTTCATTGTAAATTACAAAGAGCTTTCATGGGCATTGTTTCATTTGATTAGCACACATGAGGTGAGGTAGGCAAGGAGCATTATGCCCATTTTTTAGATAGGCACAGAAAGATGACTTGCTTCCTTGAGTCCCTTTTGGAAACCATAAAGCCTCCGGGGCATTGGTTCTCTCAGTCATCTGTTCCTGCCTGAATATGTGTAGGGATTCTTATGGATAATCAGTTGTGTTGGGATGGGCAGGAGCCTCTAGAATTTTCCCTCATCTAAGATTCTTCCTTTGTCTACTGGTCTCACAGGCTCTGTTCTCTGCAGGTGAAGGCCATGGAGGTGGACATAGAGGAGAGGCCTAAGGAGCTTGTGCGGAAGCCCTATGTGCTAAACGGTGGGTGCTGTCCACATTCCTCTAGGTCACCTTGCTGCACAGTCAGGGCCAGAAAGGGCCCTCAGATGTCTTCATTTTACAGATGGAAAAACTGAGGTTCGGAGGGAAGAAGGGAGCTGGTCCAGGGCTCACAAAGTTAAGACTGTCTCTGACTGGGATATTTTCAGTCTACTTAATAAACTCAAACATGTGAAGTGAGGTCAGAAATGTTCAGGGAGGATGCAGCCAGGTGCCCGAGAGGATAGAAAAGAAACCAGTGTCTCAGGCACATGTTCAGCTTGTCATGAATTTAAGGATGAACAGATTTTTATAGATTCCACCATCTTATTTAATCTTTTCAGTGACAAATCAGTTTCATGTTTATTAATGCTATAGAGACTGATTATTAAAACAGAGTAAATTCTGCAGGGAAGCAGGAATACTCTGAAATTCTCCACTCATCTTCCTCTTATCTGTCCAAGATGTTAGTGGTTCTCCTTAAGTTAAAAGGGTTTTAAATAGCCAGGCATTTGATAGAGAATTTCTTGAGTTCCTATCAGTGATTCTCGTAAGAATTCTCGTAAGAATTACTGCAAAGGATTGCATGAATAAAATCAGGTGTATTTTCTGTCAAATTTCTAAACGTTTTACTTCTCATTTAAAAATTTTTTTTTTTCACTTCTCCTTTAAAGAATTTTTTAAAATTGTGGTAGAAAACATATCACATAAAGTTTACCATCTTAATCATTTTTAATTATATAGCTCAGTAGTGTTAAGTATGTTTATGTTGTCATGCATTAGATCTCCAGAACTTTTTCATCTTCAGAAATGGAACTCTACCCATTGGACAACTCCCCATTTCCCTGCCTCCCTCCCACCCCAGCCCCTGGCAACCAAGTCAAAGATAATTTTGACTATAAGCAATTTAGCACTTAACCCCTGGATAACATTTGACCACCTTGTTTCCCTGAGCTGTTTTTCTCCTACTTGAGAAATGGGGAGTATTTGCCTACCTATTTAATTAATTAATTAATTTTAAAGATTTTTTTTCCAGGGAGTAAGGGAGAGAGTGAGAGTGGGGAGAGAAGTAGAGGGAGAAGGACAAGCAGACTCCATGGTCAGCATGGATTCCCACATGGGGCTCAATCTCACGACCCATAAGATCATGACCTGAGCTGAAACCAAGAGTCGGATGTCTAACTGATTAAGCCACCCAGATGCTCCTGCCTAGCTATTTTAACAGTGAAGCCATGACTTGTGGTAGGCAATGTATCTTCACCTTCACCCAGGACCCAGTACTAAGTGGAGATTATTAATTTGGTCCCTGCCGTTTACCCAGCTGAGACCCAAGAGAGATGACTTACCTTTTAGGTAGTTGCCACAGTGATAGATGATTGTGTCATAGGCAGGGCCTGGAATCCCAGGGGCTGAAGAGGCAAAGCCCATCTGATGGCCATGGTTTGGGATGGGGTGAAAGGGTGATTGGGCAACTCAAAAAGTATGGGAGGCAAAACGTCATTTTCTGTGTCCTGGTTTCTCTCACTGTAGACCTGGAGGCAGAAGCCAGCCTTCCAGAAAAGAAAGGAAACACGCTGTCTCGAGACCTCATTGACTATGTGCGCTACATGGTGGAGAATCATGGGGAGGACTATAAGGTGAGTGGTTCAGGCCTGGCAGGAAGAACCACTTGGGTCTGTTAGGAAGGCGCCCTGGACCGTTTGGGGTCTGATCTTGTCTCTTGCCTAAGACTGAGTGCAAATGAAGGAAAGAGAGACTTTAGGAAATTGATCTCATGGACAGATGCTTGTAGCCAGAATAGACTGATTGGCCTGTGGTTCATATTCCACTCAGACATGTAGTTTTATTTGCATGGTATTTTTAAAGAACTTGAACTAGGTGCCATTTTAATTATGAGAGTTTTCGAATTAAAGTTAATATTTTTGACTTCTCTTAAAAATTGGAAGATCTGGGGCGCCTGGGTGGCTCAGTGGGTTAAGCCGCTGCCTTCAGCTCAGGTCATGATCTCAGAGTCCTGGGATCGAGCCCCGCATCGGGCTCTCTGCTCGGCAGAGAGCCTGCTTCCTCCTCTCTCTGCCTGCCTCTCTCCCTACTTGTGATCTCTCTGTCAAATAAATAAATAAAATCTTTAAAAAAAAAAAAAAAAATTGGAAGATCTGACTGCATTGGATTCTGGTGCCCAAGTGGGATCAGTGAGCTATGGATGGAGCATTAGCCACTCATATTTGGCTGTAGCTCCTGCCTGGTTCCCAAGGGCATTTGCACCCATTTCCCCACATACCCCATGGTTTTTGAGGTGAGGAACCTGGACTTCAGGGACACTAAGTGGCTTGCCCAGCTCAAGCAGTACTAGAATTTGAGCCTTTGCCTGTCCAGCCCTCCTCAAGTGGCTTCTCCCTTCTTAGGCTATGGCCCGGGATGAGAAGAATTACTACCAAGATACCCCAAAACAGATTCGGAATAAGATCAACGTCTATAAGCGTTTTTACCCAGCGGAATGGCAAACCTTCATTGATTCTTTGCAGAAGAACAAGATGGAGGTTGAATGACTGGCTTATGCCTGCCCTAGGCTGAGGTCTCCTCCTGGACCAGAGAAGCTGAAAGCCAGGGTTTAAGGCAAGGAGGGGCATGTGGCTAGATGAGGCTGGTCAAATCTCATGGAATCAGGTTACATACACATGCACATGCATGCACACACTTATACTCCCCTTTCTGAAGGAACGGTGTCCAAGAAGCTTCTGAGTGCCCTGAGAAAAGCCAGAACCTACTGTTTTCAGAGTGGGTGGGTGGTTTACGTATAGCCTGTACATAATAAAAAGAGTATTTTACTTCTCTGGTGGTTGTGTGTTCCGTTCCCAACCAAGCTCTGGGACTGTCCCTGTGAAAACCCACTCGGCCGGGCAGAGAGGCCATCCAGCCCTTAATGTGCCACAGTCCTCTTCCCCTCTTAGGTGTGGCCTCCCTCCTCGTGTCCCCTGTTCCGGTTCCATTGCTCTGCTTGGTTTCCTGCACAGCATTAAGCCTTCTACACAAGCCTGCTGCTAACCTTGGGCTGCTTGGGAGGTATGTCTCAGTAGATTGGCTCAAGGGCCAGAGGGGAAGTTTGCTGCCTCCTTATGACTGGCCTTCACTACTCGTCTTGAGATTGCTTGCTCTGAAAGGAACCCGAGGCCTCCAAGTCCGCTGAGACTGGTGGACTGCTGAAGAGCATCTGTCTGCCAGGTACTGGGTACACACTGTGTGGCCCTTTTCTGGGGCAGGCCTGCCTAATTTGGCGATGTGAGGTGATGACACATAACATGATCACAGGCACTGTGGGGTGGGCACTGGGCATTTTCTGCTCTTGATACTTTATCTTGAGCTATTGTAATACAAAACCCCTCTCATTCCTAATGTTTCGCCTAGAAGGGCACCTCAAATCTGGTTCTCCTTATTCCTCTTAAAAAAGATTTGCTGTGGGGCGCCTGGGTGGCTCAGTGGGTTAAAGCCTCTGCCTTCGGCTCAGGTCATGGTCCCAGGGCCCTGGGATCGAGCCCTGCATCGGGCTCTCTGCTCAGCAGGGAGTCTGCTTCCACCTCTCTCTCTCTCTGCCTGCCTCTCTGCCTACTTGTGATCTCTGCCTGTCAAATAAATAAATAAAATCTTAAAAAAAAAAAAAAAAGATTTGCTGTTTTTATGCAGATCATTTCACATAAAGTCCTGCAGGGTGTGTGGCTTCACCATTTTACAGGTAAGGAAACCGAGGCTTGAGATGCCAGCGTGAGGTCTGAAGTCAAGTCAGTACAACCGCTAAGCCTGGGTTTTCACCTGCTATATCCTCCCCATCAGCCCCTGAAGGCAGCCCATCCGTCCCACGCTATCAGGGCAGGCTGGAAACAGGGCCCCAGAAACCCCTCCTATGCTGGCTTAGCCCCCAGCAGTGAACTGGCCCTTGTAGCAGTGTGCACAAAGGCTTTGGAATCTAGTCTCCTGGTAGGGGATTCTGTATTTTCTTTCAAGTATGCTCCATGCCCAATTTGGGGCTTGAACTCGTGACCTTGAGATAAAGAATTATATGCTGTACCTACAGACTGAGCGAGCCACTAGTGAGGGCTTTTATTTGGCCTCATAACGTCCTCCATGGCATTCCAAATTCAGGCCTTTGACAGCTGTCCCTTTGTTTCTTTACCCAATTCAGATGCCAGTTTTGGAAAGCCTTTTCTGCCACTTTCCCCCATCCTTATGCTGTGTAAGTGTCCTGTTGTCCCTATGCCCTAGCCTTCCTGTAGCAATACATACCAGATACAACTGCTTTTTAATCAGCTTGACATCCCCTGGCCAACTGGGCTTGAGTGCAGGAATCTTCCCTGGGCATCCGGAGCTGAGCCCAAGGCAGGTGCAGGGGGAATGCTCCATTCTGACTTCTGGCCCCATCAGCTAGAACTCCCAAGGAATGGCCGCCAGGTACAGATACAAATGATCATGTTACTGAAACTTCTGGGACCATCCCCCATACCTGCCCCTCACTGGAACTATAAGCACCCAGGATATACTCCTCAAAATCAGAATTCAAATGAAACCATATTTGAGTTTTTGGCATTTATTGTGTGTCTCAAACAGCCACTTGGTCTCCCTTAATGCAATCTGTCCTTGACAACCCTGTGGGTCTGGGTTCACAGGACTTGGGGTGGGACAGCAAGGCCTCTTCACTTCCAGATCTTTGATGGGAATTCTCCTTATGTACCTCATGGGCCCACCTCGCAGAGGCAGCAAATGAGGAAAAGTTGGAGGTTCTTCACACAGCTATTAGAAACGACTGAAGATGTGTGAGCCAACAAATGTGACAGGAAGATGCTCAGACTATTCCAGGCCTGAGATCTGGGCAGGTGTACCAGGATGAATACCACAAGTGAGTTTCAGCAGCTAGTTCAAAGTGCTGGCAGTTGCTATTAAGCAAGTTTAAGAACAAAATGTTTTCCATAGACAGGTGGAAACATTGTTTTGCAATCTAGTGTTTCATCCATGCAGACAGGCAAGTCCTCAGATTTTCATCAGCACCTCTCTGTGGAGGGAGGGGAGTGCTGTGACGGGCTGATTTCACCACTCACCCCCGTCCTTACGCTGGATACCCGTGTGTCAGTGCAAGAGGTACCAGAGGAGGCTCTGCGGATAAGCAGCCAGTCAAGGTGGTGGTCTTGGAGCCTTCTTGCTTAGACCATTCACATGACCAAGCTTTGGGCCAAGTCGGCCTCTCCTCCGAGGGTTGGCAGCAGGTGAGAGGATGGAAAAGCAGAAGCCACATTGCATTAATTCTTAAGATCAGAAGCCGTTGGTGCCAGGGTGAATGATCAGGCATCGGTTCAACAGGCAGGCAGAAGCAGAAGCTTCTTTTTGATATGGAGTGCCCACCTGCTCTCTCAGATCCAGAGCCTGCCTTCCAGTTGCCTTCCTTAGAAAAGGAGAAGGGCTGACATTTGACCCATATCCCATGCTCAGGTAGGCTGGGAGCTATAGTGTTGGGGCAGTCTTGGGGGGAGCAGTGTCACCCAGGCTAGCTCAGAAAACTCACTTTGAGATGAACTCCACAGATAATGGCTGGTTCCCAGGAGCAGGTGATCTGGGCTGGTGAATCAGAAAGTCACATTCAGGAGCAACTGGGTAAGAGCAGCACGGGCCAGGCACTCGGCTATTCATAAGAGAGGCCCGTTCTCCACTTTGCCCAGTCCTGGCAGAAACCAGAGCGGTTGAGCACTATTGACACTCTGCCTGGACGACAGGCCAGCAGTCGCACCAGAGGAGTGCAGCAGTCAGCCACAAATGTGATGAGGCACACACACAGGTCAAGAGAACATCTATATTCTGCACAAGCATCAGGGTGGTACTCTGGACCTTCAGGCCCCCTCAGTGGCTTGTGTCTTCCAGTGTACCACTGGGACCCAACAGTTCTGGGAGTGGTCTTCAGAGGTCACTCATGTAGATATAACTATTCAAGGTCACTCCCCTCACTGCAGACTTTGAAAACTGTATTACATAACGATACTCATTAGACCAAAGGGAGATCTTAATTAGAAAAGGGTCCCCTACAATGATGCTGGTTCCAGAGGTAAATGTCAAGCACTGGAGAACAAGGTGAAGTTTATAGAACAAAGACGTAAAGTTTCACAATCTTTAAATGTCAAAATGAAAAGCTGTCGGCAAAAGTTCAAAGGGTACTCTAAAAGTCAAGTCATTCCTTAAATATTTAAGATAAAAGCAGTCAAATCTCTTCTTTCTTCTGCAGAAAGTTAATTAGAATTTCAAAGGACAGTGATTCTGTCATACACCCACAGCCCAAGAGCACAGCAGGCCACTGTAACTCGTCACATTTCTGGACTTCTAGAGCGTCCATCCCACCTTCCTCCCTATGCCTCTTCTCATGTAGGCCACAGCATGGAACTGAGGCACGCTGAGTCAATGTCAAGTGAAATGAAGGCACATCATCTCTATTCTCAATTAAAAAGCAAACTGAGTTGGCTATCTCTGCTAAAAAAAAGTCCATCTGTGGCTACTGATTACTCAGCGCAGACAAAAGGCTCCGTCCTTGGCCTGCACTAAAGTGTCAGCATATAAATAAACTGTGAGTGTGCACTGGAGAGAATAGAAATTCTGTCCAACTTTTGGCTGGGGAGTCAGCAGGTCCAGAAAGACTGAGGTACCCAAAGCCTCAGGTATCCTGTTGGCTGATCTGCTAATTCCCATTTTTGTTTACCTGGATTTACATGATTGAAATGTCCTCTCCTACAGTCACCAGCTACATGGGAGGGGATTGTGTCCTTTTGACATATTGGGCCAAGTGGCAGAGTTTTAAGTTCATGTGGGTCAGGGTAAAGGGGGATGCCGATTATAGCTGTAAATGTTGGGGGAAAGCTAGAGCTTTGTCTCCACTGACACGTGCAGGTTATCGCACGTCTCACAATTCTAGCTGTTTTCCTCAAAGACACAAATTTTCCATGGCAGTCATCCGGGGCTTTGATAACAGCACCTAGAAACAGAACCTGAGACTTTGGTCTGTTCCTTGTATGAATAAATAAATAAATAAATAATTAGAATGCAGTTGACCGTCTTCTCCTCAGGGACATAGGCTCCTTCCCCAGAATTCTGTAAACACGGGCACTGGCATAGAGCTGCAGTTTCTGTCCCCAGACGAGGGGGAGGAAAGCCCTCCGTGTCTCTGCTCAGGGCTGAATACCACTTGATGCTGTAGTCTGGCAGGCAGGCCTTAGCTTGCAGAAGCAGGGAGGTTTCAGAAAACTCCTTGCTAGGATCTCCAGGTTCGTCCCAGCCCTTCTTATCTTCATGGCTGGAAAATCTATCTCCAAGTGAGAAAAAACCAAGGAAGCCATCTCTTTAAAAATGATGGTCCCAGGGCCAGAGCGGCAGAGATAGCACAAGGCCTCGAGCCAGCCCGGTGGAGCTGGGGCTGCAGGACATTGTGGGCCCTGGAGCCAAGGCTCACTGTGGGCTGCCCAGAACCCGCCTGCGTGACGGGCATGAGGTCACCAGGAGGGAACGGTTTTAGACTGGGAGTACTTTTGACGCTGTCCCGATTCTCAGTCACTGGGACCTGCAGAGACTGAGAACCTTACTGTACACGTCAGAGAAGGAGGTGCCTTTAGCGGTGAAAGCCCGATCCACTTCCAGCCTGGAGTGAGCCAGACACTATGCTCTTCCACTATCTGCCTCACCTGCCTCCCCACTTCAGCCTCATGGCCACCTCACCGTTGGAAGGCTTCTGTGCGGTTCCTAGCCTTGCCCAGGCCCTGCTCTGGAGGGTGGGTGGAGAGAAGGGCAGTCCTGCTACATGGCTCCTGCCTCAGGCCCACACTGGCAGTAGACAGGAGGAGTGGCAGGACTAGGGTCTTCAGGGTAGGGTGGCAAGCTGGTGATAGCTGGCCTAGGAGAGAAGCTCCAAGAGCAGTCTCCAGATATGCACGGTGCCAGGGTTTTCAAAGCCGGGTCCTGCAGGGGCGATGCTGGCTGCCAAGAGGAACACCTCCCTCTGGCTATCGATAGCCCGCAGGCCCAGCTCCTGCTGTAGCTCCACCATACTCATGGACTCACTCAGGTCCTGGGATGAAACAGAGAAGCCGGTTGGAACAGAGCTCACAGTTTCCCAGCACCCACACTGTCATCCATGAGAAGAACTGTTCTTTGGCTATCCTGGGGAACACTGGGGCCTAAGTTCCCAGAAGTGGCCTCTGGGCCTCTTGGTCTAAATTCTCTCACCTCTGACTTTCCTTCATACCAACCTCTTTTCATACTACCACTAGCCACTGCGGTGAGAAACAGCTCTTCCTATAAGCCAGGCATTGTGAGAGGCACTTAGAGTTATCCTCATAATTATAGTTTATAAGTAGAATGATGATGTAATTCATCATCCAAACCAGGGTACTTCTGAGACTTAAAGTGGACACTATTAATAATTATACCAGAACAACAGCCATAAATGGGGGCCATCCCAGGCAGACCAGGACATATGGTTACATGCTTATAAATGATTGTCAAGGATATCCTGATAGGCAGGGGAAACTGGGATCAAAGACATATAGCTTCTCTCCAAGTCAGGTTGGAAACAAATGCCATGGCTCGCAGGAACGTGGGCCAGGCCACAGGAAAAATGACAGAACTCTGTACTGTGGCAAAGTTTTACCTGGCATGTACTGAGAGTGGCACCTTCAGTCTGTGATGCTGAGGGTGGCTGGGCCAAAGGCCCAAGAGAAGTAGAGCATGGTTAAGAGCAGAATCTTTGAGGAAGATCGGAGTTCAAGTCCTGGCTTTGCCACATACCAGTTTTAACTTTGGGAACTGAGGATAATAACAAGGCCTATCATGGGGTTTTGTAGGATTTAAGCGAGGTCATGACTGTCAGGTGCTTAGCCTGGCACACTGTAAGCACACTTACAAATGTTATTTGTTATTGTTATTGGAATATGTTCCACTTATCACTTCCCAGCTTAGGTCTTTGATCTAGAGCTGGAAGTCACAAGGACATGGCAGAGTGGAAAAGGCACAAGTTTTGGAGTTAGACATTGCAATTCCACTATTTTCAAGGTGTATAACCTTGGGGAGATTACAGAACCTCTCTGAGCTTCAGATTTCCAATCTGTAAAATGGATCCTGTAGGATCAATTAGAAGCATAATGTGAAATGTCACTCAAAACCATACCTTATATATAGTGGATGCTTAGTATTTTTCTCATTTCTTCAGGATAGTGGGTGACAGGGAGGTGAGGAGGAAGGCAGACAGAAAATGAGGATCAGGGATGAGGAAAAAGCACAGGTAGAAGAGTTGGGGACAGTATCTCACCTGAGTGCTCCAGATCACAGGCCTGGGCCTGAATCTCTCTCCTGTGCTCCCTGCCCCTACCCAGGGATCAGTGCATCAAGCCCAGCTGGTCTAAGCCAGGCTCCCTCCCATGGTCCTCACCTGCTTGTTGGCCACCACAACGACAGGCAGGTCAGGGTCCTTGTCCAGCAGCTTGTGCAGTTCCTGCCGGGCCCAGGGCAGCCGCAACCGGTCAGCTGAGTCCACCATGAACACCAGCACGTCTACTTCATTCACAAACTCCTTCCAGTAGAAGCGTAGGTTCTGGCTGCCGCCGACTGAGGAGAGGCCAGGGGCCAGCTCAGAGCCTCCCTGGGCCCTGGCTCTCTACACATAGCCCCATACCACCCCACTTACAGCTTCCCAAGGCTCCACCAACCAGGGGCAAGGAAGACCACAGGTTCTGGAGCCAATCTGGTTTAGCTCTGGCTCTGATAGCTGGGGCTCCCTAGGCAACTCACTACCTTCGAGTAGCAGCGTTCTCCTCACTGAACTTACCTACTAACAGGTTGCAGGAAAACCCAAAGGTACCATACACAATGCGCCTTTCACAGACTAGCATACAAGGTGCCCATTAAATTGTACTCTCTGGTTCTTTTTCCTGAGCTGCTTCCTGCCAGTTCCTAGCTTTCTCTCCCAGACAGTAATGGTGTGGTCAGAAGCCAAGACTCCCTGCCCAGCCTATACATAACCATTCCCCATTCAGTGTTTCATGTTCAGTCTGGTCACCCCATTTTCTTTCCTTGAAAACAGCATACTCAGTCCTACCACCACATGGCTGCCCACATAGTACCCCCAACCTGGGTTGCCTTCTTGTCCCTCTGCACAGTCCCCATTAGCCACACTGCATCCTAGAGTTTCTGGATATACTTCTGACACTTGAGGACTCTGTGCTCTTTGAGAGTTAGAGCTGTTTACATCTGGATCCCCCCAAAGCCCTCAGCACAATGCCTGGCACATAGCAGGCACTCAACAAATATTTACTGAGTGCTTACTAGGTGCCAAGCACTGATCTGGGTGCTGGGGATACAGAGGTGAGCAAGGCAGACAGGGCCCTGCTCTCAAGGAGCTCCCTCTGTAACCAAGACAGACACAGCAATAGCACATAAGCACATTTCAGAAAGGAAATAAAAAAGAAAAAGTGAAAATGGCTTGGGGTGGCTTTGGATTGGGCGGTCTGGGAAGGTCTCCCTGAGGAGGCAGCATGTGAGCTGAGTCTGGGATAACGAGAAGGAGCTAGCTAAGGGAAGAGGCAGAGGAAAGCATTACAAGCAGAGTGAAGAGCAAGCTCAATGTGTCTGAAACAGAAGGCAGCCAGGGTGGCCAAGGCAGTACCAGAGGGAGAGGGGAAGAAGCCACAGCTAGCAAAGCTGGCCAGGGCTTGACCACATGAGGGCTGTCAGGCTACAGTGAAACTGTGGGGGACCCCCTTAAAGGTTTTATGCAAGAGTGACATGGGTTTCTGAAATATACTGCTGGCTGACAGTAGGGGACAGAAGTGAAAGCAGGAAGACCTGCAAGGAGGCTATTATAGTACTGAGATGATGGTGGCTTGGACCAAGCAGGCAGTGGTGGAAGTGGGGAGAAGTGGACAGATGCAAAATCTATTGGAAAATAAAGCTGAAAGAACTAGCTAATCAAATGGATAGGATATAGAAAGTGGGGCGAGGAAGGGAAGAATCATCAAAGATCAACAAAGGGCTCATGCCAGGCCAGGCACTGTAGACTATAGCCAAGCGAGTGTCATGGGAAGGGAGAGTTCCAGGGCTTGAATTTGAGATCTGGGTTAGAATCCAGGAGTGACTCTATTGAACCTTAGACTCTTGGGTAACATGAAAACACCAACCCCATTCTCCTAGGTTTGGGGGTTACTATCTCTGCCAGAGTGGGAGTCAAGTGCAGAATCCCACTTGACCCTTCTGCATCCCTGGCACAAGAAAGGGAGACAGGTAAAGTCTCGTTTAAAGGACCAAATTCCAGGTGAATATCAACGTTTGCCACAAGCAGGGAGGAAAGATATAGCCAGGCCCTCAGAGTCTGATCCCACCAGCTGCTGCTTAACTAAACCCACCTAGTCTTTATGGTCTGAGCCCTTTGGCTGGCAGGAAGTCCACTACTCTCTCACACACAGTCTGCAGCTGGACACAGGTGGCTAAGTACTGCTGTCTTCTGAATAGCCCCATTGCCAACCTCTCCTGGAATCCCAAGAAGCCTAACACTGAGGACAGGGGCAGCCCAGACCCCTTCTGATCACTCACTCAACGAGTTCTCCCAGTTACTTGCTTGAGGCTGGGCGCTCAGGACCAAAGCTGGATCAGACTCATCTGTGCCCCAGAAGCCTCGTCAGGGACATAGGCTGGTATGCAGCAAATGCCAGCTCAGAGGAAGAGCCCTTAACCTAGCCTGAGAATCAGATAAGGCTTCATAAGGATATCATGTTTGATCTAAATCTTTTTTTTTTTTTTTTTTTTAAGATTCTTTATTGTTGGGGCGCCTGGGTGGCTCAGTGGGTTGAGCCTCTGCCTTCGGCTCAGGTCGTGATCCCGGGGTCCTGGGATCGAGCCCCGCATCGGGCTCTCTGCTCAGCGGGAATCCTGCTTCCTCCTCTCTCTCTCTCTGCCTGCCTCTCTGCCTACTTGTGATCTCTCTGTCAAGTAAATAAATAAAATCTTTAAAAAAAAAAAAAAAAGATTCTTTATTGTTTTAATTTTTAGTAGGCTCCACACCCAATGCGGAGCTTGCATTCATGACCGTGAGATCAAGTTGATGCTCTGTAGACCAAACCACCCATGTGCCTCTGATCTAAATCCTGAAAAGAGGTATAGCAGTTTTTAAAGGGAAGAAGGGCTTTCCAAACTGCGGGAACAGTGCAAGCACAGACAGAAGAAAGAAAACAGCAAGAACCTTTCAGAAACAAGCAATGTAGCAGCATGCTGCTTAAAATAGAGAGCCTCCAGCCAGAGAGTCTGCATTAGCAGACTGGCAAGCTGGGTGAGCCAGGATTTTATTTAACTTGCTGGGCCTCCCTTTCCTCATGCATGTAACAAGGGTAATAACTGTTTCCAGTTTTTTGTGGAGTTGTTGGGAGGGTTTTATTAAGTAATGCCTGGCAGATGTTTGGAAACTTTAGCTTTTGGAATCTCAGTGTTAGGCATGTGAGCTTCAGTTGGGATAAGGGACAGGCAGTGACCAGGCTGGAATTGCCCAATCATGAATGGCCCATCATGTCAGAATACAGAGTGTGGACTGTATCCTGTGCCCCAGAGAGGCAGGGGAAGAATATCATACAGGGATGTGTCCTGCTGAGATATACATGCTGGAGACACACCCAAGCAAAGACCCGGCTTGGGTCCAAGTGAGGTGATGGGGGAGATGGTGTGTGTGTGGGGGGGGGGGGGGGTCTGCTCACTCTCTAACAGGTCCACCTCGAAGTCCTTGGTGGGCAGCCTCACAGAGTTGAAGCCCCAGGTGGGGATGTGGCCTTCCAGCGGTGGCTTTCCGGACAGCACGCGCAGGAACGTGCTCTTCCCCGAGCCGTCCAGCCCCAGCACCAGCACCTCACGCTGCTCCAACTCCTCCAGCGCTGGCTCTTCGTCCTCCTCGTCTTCAGGCTGTGGGCACAGGTCAGGTTGCGGCCGGCACCCTCCTGCCGGACCCCCGAAGACACCAAAGCACCCATCCTCGCCCTCCACCGGTCAACTGGCAGGAAGGCAAGGCCTGGTGCAGTGGGACCAGCGCTGCCTTCAGAGTCCTGAATCCCAAACCCCGTTCTTCTGGCTTCTCCCGAGTGACCTCGGTGAAATTTCTTCCCCCAGAGAAGCCTCAGCCTCCTCAGACTGACAGTCCCTACGTCCCAGGGTCGCAGGGAACACCGAAGGGGATAAACTCGCATCCCCGCCCCGCGCCGGGGAAGGGGGCGGCGGCCTCTCCCGCCATGCCCTGGGCCGCGGGCTGTGCGCACTGCGCAGGCGCCGGGCGAGCGCGGGCTGGACCGGGCGCGGGCTCGACTGAGCTCCGGGGCCGCGCCCTCGGGGCTCCGGCGCCCACGAGGAGGCCCGGGTCTCGCGGCCGCGCAGGGCGGTGCCGCACACCCTCCGAAATGCCCACCCATCCCTCGGTTGTGGGACTCACGACGGCCCGGCTACCACTGCGCGCCCTTTCGCCAGGGTCTGCGGCGCCGAGCCCTGACCTAGGCGCTTCTGCCCTCGCAGGGCGTCACACCCCTCAGCCGCACACGCGGAGGCCCAGACCCTCGCCCGGCACTCACGTCCCACTCGTCCCACTCAGGGAGGCGGGCAGTCTCCGCGCCCCACCAGGCCTCGCCCCGGTCCCAGCGCCGCTCGCGTCCGCGCCCGAAGTAGGCCTTCCAGAGGATGAAGAGTACGGAGCCCAGCACGGCCGCGGCGCCGCCCAGCGCCAGCACCAAGGGGCTCAGCGGCCGCGGAGCCATCGGACAGGGCGAGGGGCACGGGTGCGGGCTGCACAGGCCGAACCAGCCGGCCCGCGGAAGATGGCCCCGCTGCGACTGCGGCGGCCGCGCCCACCCACCCAACACCAGCCCCACACTACAAGCCCCACAATGCACCACTGCGGTCGCGACTGGCGGCTCGCGCCCGGGCTGCTGGAGTGGGGGGCGCTGAACCGAGCGCTGGCACTTCCCACTCCCACTGCTACGTGCGGCGGAGAGCTGAAAGATGTACCTGGGCAGGACGGGAGTCGGTGATGTTGGCATCTCCCGAGCACTTGCTGTATGCCTAGTGGTTAGCTGACCGATGTTCTCGTTTACTCCGTAAAACGGTGTTTCCTAGAATGGAAAGCCGAGGCCCAGTTCGCACCGTAGTGCATTGGTGTAGCCGGCACTCAAACCCCAAGCGATGTTTCCTGGGCATCTCAAGACTTCGGGGATCAAGTTGAGGCAAGTCACACGGCTAGAGGGTGTCAGGTTATGGAGTGGCAGAGACGGAACTGGAACGCGGGTCCCTGACTTTTAGGACTCTACCCTCTCTTGGCTGCTTCTCATACCCCAGGAGCTCTGCTCCCTTGGGATCCTGGGCATGCTAATGAAGCAGGTAGGATTAGGGGTCAGTGTTCAGATCTCATCGCCTAGTCCTACTTGACTTCCAGTGGCTGCCAAGGTTTCCAGGTGTAGCAGGAGAAATAGTCTGGGGTACTTCAAAGGAGGACTAGGTAAGGGACTGCAGAATGGATAGGTGTTTTTCTTGTAAGCAAACCCAAACCATCTTGATGACCAGGAGGGACTCTGGGTTCTTTTCTGGTCATTTGCGGGTAATGCTCAGATCTCTTTTGTATCAGAAACTGTCCTCCCTCACTGGTACTACCTTTCCTTTTCATTGCAGTCCTACTTCGGATAATGTTCATTCACTATTCTTCACCCAACCCACCCAGGGAAACTGCTCTCACCCGGTATCTAACAAATGCTTCCCTGTTAAATCCGTTGGTAACATCTTAGTTCTTATTTTGCTTGATCTTGCAATATTTAACACTGTTAATTCTTAGCAGAGATGCCATTCAAAACCTGGCCAGGGTACCAGCTCATTCCTTGAGGGATCACCTCCCTGGTGAGACAGGAGTGCAGGGTTCCCAAAGAGAAAAATTAGCACTAGTGAGTATCCTAAACTTTGTGGTCGGAAAATTAAAAAAAAAATAAATAAATAAGGGATTTAGTCTTGGCATTCATGTAAGTTTTATGTCGTTTCAAAAGACAGAACCTTAATCCCTTGAGCGCAAAAGGCTCCTGGAGATCTAATTTGGCCTTACCTTACCTTTCCTGCCTCCTGACACACAGTGGGTGATCATCCCCTTGTCTCTCAGCTGGAATTCAGTCACCCTGGTGGTCACAGTCTCTGCCTGAAGATGTCTGTCCTTCCACTTGAGGATGACAGACCAGGCCTTTGTCTTCTTGGGGGTCTGATGTGTTGAGTATAAGAATGAGGCCCAGAGTTCACACTTAACATATTTGGAGAATTGAATCAATTGCACATTCTCCTCCCTTGGCCTCTATGACACATTCTTTTCTTGATCTTTTCCCTCCTCTCTAACCCATCCCTTTCAGTCTCCTTTTGCCTGGCATTGGCTGCCATTAGCTGAAACTAACTGGACCATTTGGCAAGGAAACTCTGGAAATGGAATTGTCAGGACTTAGCCCCCTGTCATGCAGAGCAGAGCAGGTGAAGGGTGAGGAATGGAGCTGTGATTAAACAGGCATATGGCCAGCACAGTCCACTCCTTTGCATCCAGTTTTACTCTTATATCCATTTTTAACTTTGTGCTTCCACATTCCATGATGCAATATCCATTAGAAAAATAGTCACTCTTTACCTTCTGAAAAAAGAGAAGACAAAGTCCCATCTGTCAATATATCCATCTCTGGGTGATGCTAATTCCTCTTCAGTCATGAACCCATCTGGATATTCTACAATTAAAGATTAAATTATAGGGGCGCCTGAATGGCTCAGTTGATTAAGCATCTGTCTTCAGCTCAGGTCATGATCCCAGGGTCCTGGGATTGAGCCCCACATTGGGCTCGACAGGAAGCCTGCTTCTCCCTTTCCCACTCCCCCTGCTTGTGTTCCCTCTCTCGCTGTGTCTCTCTCTGTCAAATAAATAAATAAAATCTTTAAAAAAAAGATTAAACTGTAAAGATAACTATTGCCAACTTTACTTATACAGTCCAACTTCCATATTACTACACAGCAGTCTTTACAAAAGAAAACCTGGCAATGTCATTTTCAGGTTAAAATTCCTCAGTGGCTTCCCATCTCCACCAGGATAAGTACTACAAGTCGCTGATGATGGAGCAAGAAGGGCAGCAGGGAACTGACATTTAACCAACTAGACATCAACTGTACATTAGGCTTTGTTCTGGTGTAAAATATACTGCTGTGCAAACATTTGTCTGTCTCCATCTTCTGAGAATAGTTTTCCTAATGATTGAATTAACTGAAAACCTGCCATGTTTTTGGTTTTTTAAAAGATTTTTATTTTTTTATTTATCAGAGAGAGAGAGAGAGAGTGAGCACAAGCGCACAAGCAGACAGAGGCAGAGAGAGAAGCAGGCTCCCTGCCAAGCAAGGAGCCCGATGCGGGACTCGATCCCAGGATGCTGGGATCATGACCTGAGCTGAAGGCAGCGGCCCAACCGACTGAGCCACCCAGGCATCCTGAAAACCTGCTATGTTTACATGACACTTGGCATGAATAATTAGTCAGTAATAATTAGATCAGGCTGAACCAAGGAGACTGTTCCATGGGATTCTTAAATGTGGTACCCAGCATCTTGAGATCCATCTGTCTTGGGTGGATTAAGAAGTAAAACTTACCAGCTATAGGTAACCATTTTCCCCGCATTTAAAAGAAGAAGGCTTGAGGTCAAAGAGGCTGAGGTAGAGCAGGAAAGGCAAAGTCAGAAGGCAGAGCTGGAATCCTGGTGCCATTTGCATCCGTGGGTACTGTTATTCCTAAAGTCCAGGGTATATTTGTGTTCAACCCTTTTGTAATTCCTTCCTTCCTTCCTTCCTTGTCCGTCCATCCTTCCTTCCTTCCTTCCTTCTTCTCTCATCACTATCTGGGGAATCAAGTATGCCCCATCCACGGGGTGCAGTCAGTCACAAACAACATAGCATCCAACGAGGGGAACTGCTTTACAGTGAGAGGTGTAGGAGTGGCTCCCTGACCACGGCGTCCCCTGGTTATATCATGTGCCATGCTATTCAGGGATAGCCAGCTTCACAGAACACTGGCGTAACCTTCTGCTTTTCAGTTATTTATAACTTTGTCATGCCTTTTAGGGAATTTTCTGAACCTGGTCTTCCACTTGTTTATTTGGTCCTTGGCTATACCCACTCCGCTATTCACCCCAGCCTTTCAGGGCTTTATTTCATCTATAACATTTTTCATGTCTGGTTCTGTAGTTGGTTCCTTATAATTTCTCGTTTCCCCCTTCATCTTTCCAAAATCCTCTCTCTTCTTTTTTAGAGTGATATTTTAAATGCTTATTTTCATTCGTTGTCCTGCCAAGTCCATTAACTCTGGTGTGTTTGGATAAGGTAGTCCTGTATGGCATCTTTTCTCTCATTGGGTGTGTGCCCCTCAGGCATCTCTTATCTGCCCCTGTGAGCTCCTTTCCTCGGGGCCAGGACTAAGTGCCTGGGGGAGGTGGCATAGCCCAAGTGTAGTGTATTGCTGGTGAGTTGGGAAGGAGACTCTCTCGGGCACAGTCCGCACCCCTAATTCGTACTGTGCTGAGCAGACACCTGCATCTCTAGAGAAAGTCCTTGTTCCTCGCGGCCCAGGTAAGTCTCTTACTAATTCCCATTGCCATAACTTAGTGCTTAGGGTACAGGGAGAGGGAAGAGGAGTGGTGGGAGAGGCTGCAGAGGTGCCGGCCAGTTCACTGCACTGGAGTTTGTTACTGACTTCCCCACCCAGCCACTGCCTTCTCAGCCCTTGGTAACGGTGATAGGACTGGCCAAGGTCTGCCCAGTGCAAGGCAGGGAAGAAGTAAGGGTCTATCTGTCCGAGAACCAACAGGGCCTGATTCCCGTCTTGGAGCTCTGTCTTTGGCTCTGGGTTGCCATTGTCCACACCCAAGCCTAGCCTTTTGCTGATGGCCACGGGGCTGGTCTCTCTGATCTGCCAGCTTCCTTTTGATTCTCAGGTATCCCTGGATCTGGGGCTGGTTTGTGCTATCTGCCATCTGGTCAGCTTATCTCTGTCTTTTAAAAGAGAAAACCAACTTGAGAGAGGGGGTGGTTTCTCCAAGATCATTTAATGAATACATGAGGCAGCTACGATTTGAATCAGGTCTGTGTGTCTTGAAAACCATGCTCTTAATATGTTGTATCCCCCTGTATAGACCCTGGAATCTAGGTCCACTCATTTGATCAAACTCTTCTTCTGAAAAAGAAGGAAAACTTAAGGGATTGGCTTTGGAGTCTCTCACATGGGTCCTCGGTTGGATTTTAGGATGTTTCATTTTCACATAGATGAGCTCTTGAGTTGTTCATCATTTTAATTAATCGGCTCTTAATGTTTTTAAAATTATTAAATGTGTCAAACAAACATGTTCAGATACCCATGTATTGACGGAAACTTGAGAATTAACCTTTTGCTGTATTTTTTTATTAAAAAAATTTCAAGCATAAATGAGATGCTATTCCTATCTTCAGAGATAATCGTGATCTCCAAGTTGATGTGTATCATTCCCATTATGTTTTTATGCTTTTATTTTATTAACACATATCAAAACGTTTTTTGGTTTAATAATATACGTAAATGGTAATGTGGCATATTCTGATTGAATGGGAGCCGGCGCAGGTGGTGAAAAAATACACCCAAGGCAGAACCAGAGAGAGGAAGGTTGAATATACCGCAAGGGAGCAGAAGGCAGGACAGCAAAGGAGAGACTGTCTGCCATGAGGCGGTCATGAGGGGCTATAGTTAAAGGGCGGGGTGAAGAAGT